GAGCGAGAGAGAGAGAGCGAGAGAGCGAGAGAGCGAGAGAGCGAGAGAGCGAGAGAGCGAGAGAGCGAGAGAGCGAGAGAGCGAGAGAGCGAGAGCGAGAGAGAGAGCAGCTTGAAGCTTCCGGTCTGAGGTTTGCATTCGGGGTTTAGGGCTTGGTTCGGAGCTTCCAGCTCATGAGTACATGCACACAACAGCCGCCCTGAAGCATTCATGGGCTGAGGGGTGCTGCTTTCCCGAGACTGTGCTCAGGGTAACTCTCCCACAGCGGGCCCGCCACAGACCCAGCTGCTTATCGAAGCGATGCTGCAGCGCATCCGCACCGCAACGGTCGCAGGCCCCAGCAAGGCCGGGATCGCGATCCATGCCAGACGGCAAGAGCCCTTTCCCCTCAATCTCTGAATATACATGGCAGCCGAGAGGTTTCAGGAGTTAGTGACTTGCTTGTAGGAGTGTACTACCCTATGCATCTACCACCACTGTATGGAGCACAACTGATCTACCCTTGCAATTTCGGCGCAATGTTGGTAGTCCTACTCCTACTCACTATTCCAGAGTATCCAACACACCAGCACCAGGCCCCCTCACCCCCCCATAACCAACACGTTGATTGCCAGATGCCGCCGGCCTCCGGAATATATAAGAGCAGAGCGCGAACAAGATGTCTAAAATTTAGGGCTGAGGTTGCCTGGACTTGTGCACAATTTCAGCAGTGCTTGCTTCACCTGCTACACCCGTCTTTAGAAATCTGCACCTGGTTTTGCCACGTCAACAAGGGGCACGCACAACAGGGTCTAGAATCTCAAACACCCACGAAGGTCTAATATCCCAGACCTCTGATTTAAGACCCTGTAACGTCCAGCCCCAGGGGTTACTGATTCCAGACCCTCAAGTACCTGAGGGGATCAAAGACCAGAACACTGGCATGCTCACGATGATGGTGAACCCTTGTCATCAAGTGGCGGCGGCGCTCTCCGCGAAGCCGTCGCCAACACACGCCCAGTCGAAGCGAGCATGGCGGCAGCAAGACGGGGCACCAACAAGCCAACGTGGGCAAGCCCTAAAGCGTGTAGAGAAGTGCCACAGAAGACCTCATGTATCCTGCTTACCTTCTACGCTTTTGAGCTGGAAGATGCCCGCCAGGCGAATCCCATGTCAATCTGGAAGTCGGGTTTGGGTGGTTTAGGGAAGTGCTGAGCTGACACAAGCAGGATCAAGGAAAAACAGGTCCTGGGAGGCTACGTTTCCTTGCCTCGCCCCCCACACGCGGCGTAGCACAGCAGAGCGGGAGCTGAGAGCCGAGCTCCATCAGGCCCGGGCTCCGCTTCTGGACCAAGCCAAGGCCATGTGCTCCGAAGCTGCTGCTCTGCTGTGCTCTGTGCTGCTCTGGTCCGGGATACTGGTGACACAAGCAAAACCGTGGACATGGCCTAGGCCTGCCATTGTCATGTGCTCGATCTAGCGAGGCTTCATCGACAGGGGCGGCGAGGTGACGGAGCGCATGATTGACCACGCAGGCATAAGGCCTTGGTGCGGCTGTCTGGGGTCAGGCTTCGGGGCCCTGACAACTCCACTCAACATCCGATCCTGCTACCAAGCCATAAGTTACAAGCCCCCAAATCCAAGTCCATCGACCGCCGCACCCAAGCCCTAAAGCCCCATATTACCAAATTTGCAAAAGCCTCCGCCCCAAAAAAACCCGAACCTGCGAAGCTTCAGCCTTCAGCCCTTCAGCTCCAAAGGAGGCCTCGACAGGCGGAAGGGCCTTCCACAAAGGCAGCGAAAGGCCGCTGGGACTTCGGCGGCCTGCGAGGGTTTAGCAAGGGCTCTGAAGGTTCGCCAAGTTCCCCTCAGGATGCCTCTTTCTCTCTCCTCTCTCTCTCTCTCTCTCTCTCTCTCTCTCTCTCTCTCTCTCTCTCTCTTGCTTTTCAATGACAGGGTTTTTATGGCCCTGAAGGGCCATAGGGCTTCGTCTTGGAGTGCCTCGGGGTTTCTTTTGACACCTCTTGCCTTTAATTAAGACTGAAAGCATCGGAGCACTGCGACTCGCTGGCGACATCAGGATCTAGCGATGAAATCCATGGGAGCACTGTCAAAAGCTTCCAATGAAGAGTCGAAGCCCTACACACTCTCAACCCTGGACCAAAAATCCCAAGCCCTCCATCCGAAGCGAGCTGGGCAGATAGGAGGGACGATAAAACGAAACAGACTTTGGGTTTGCAGCTGCATCTTCAACCCTGAGTCCTGTAAAGGAACCAAAGCCGCAATGCAGAAAAATCGCAAATGAGGCGATTGGTGCGTTTAGGCTACCGGAGGCGGCTTGCACATGGCATGCACAAGATGATGCTGAGATCTTCCTTTATGTATGCATACGGTCAGGAGAGCTGAGCTCCCACTCTGAATCCGAATCCTCGCAGGGCCCAACGTACACGCACAGCCCAGAACCCGATCCCGAAAGCCTCGTGCTGCGAGTCTACAAGCTCCATGCCTGCCGCTTGCGTTGCACAAGCAGAAACCCGAAGACTGCAAAAAGCACGCTCCGAAACTCCTGCTGCATGACTTGGACCTACCATTGCGGGTATTGCAGGGGCGCAAGTTCACAGTGACAGCTCGCTTTGCTGCTTCGGCCAGTGGTCAGTTTTGGCCAGACCATTGGACATACCATCTCGAGATCTGGCAGAACGGCTTTTGTGTGGTTGTGGCTTCGGGCTTAGTGAGCTTAGTGTCAGGCCGTTGCATTCTGAAACAAATAGAACATGTCTCGGACCATGCAATGTGCTGTCGGGACACATCCCTGAAGCAAATTATCCCTTGCAGTATGGGTCGTTATCAAGACGGCATGAGCAACAGCCATGCAAGTAACGATCCTGACAGCAATATTGAGCCTGTCACCCGGAGAATGCATGGGATGCATCTCTTGAAAGTGAACTCCTGCTGGTCTGACATGCTGAGACGTAAACTCCTGAAGCCCCTGGCCCTCGAACCTATCCCCTTTTTTGCAAGTGCACATTTCACGTCCGCTCGGAGACGAGCTTCAGATACACTGAGCCCGGCGGCAAATACCTCTCAGCATGGCTGTGCGCCAACATGTGTCAAAGGGTTCACAAGGTCGAAGCGGGCGACTCTGGGACACAGCTGTGCAGCCGTTCGGCTCACAACGACGCGGATACGCATTGGACGTCATTTGGGATGCAATCTGGGAGTCTTCGCTATTGCCGTGCCTTCCCAATCTCTGGTGCCAAGGCAAGTGCGGAGGCTTTTCGGGTTCAATCCGGGCAAAACCCTACAAAGGTTTCTGTCAGTAGCAAGGCTGACTCCTTCGCTTCACCGCCTGAGACCTGCTCCATCGCCATGCTCACTATTACTACTATTTACTATTATTCCCTATTGAGACCAGAACCTGTCCCCTGAAGTCACGGCAAGGCTCGACTCGTTCTCAAGGTCACGGATTCTCAAAAACAGCCTCAGTCGTTCGGTTTTCGACAGTAGCGTTCCCTCCCTCCTTCCCTCCCCTGCTCCTGCCCTCAATTGAAACCACACTCAGCATTGGTTTTTCACAAAATCTGGCGGTTAAATCAAGAATGGCAACGGTACGAAACATGATTGCCAGCAAAGAACCAAGAAAACCGCTTGAACGTCGATTGCAGCTTGGTTGTCAATGCCGAAGTCCAAAAAACCACTTGACTACATTCCGGAAAATATGTTGATTTGCGGTCCCGAAGTCCGCAATCACCAGCCCGCTATGCAATCAAAGGGGAATAGGTTGTTGTTAAATTCAAAAGAAGCTGAACACCCAACGCGAATCCTGAGTTCCACGTTCTAAAGTACTTCTTGACACCCCAACGAAACATGTTTGTTGTCAACACAAAAAACGCTTGCAACTTGCAAGAAAGTTGGTTGTTAACTCAGGAGCCAAAAGAAGTAACAACATCAAACAACCACTGGTTGTGACATGACAAGCTATATGCAACATCAAGTCTATGTTTTTGTTGGGGTGCAATGGTCTGCAAAGCTTCAGAGTCTGTCGGGGGAGTGTTCTCCAAGGAGAGGGCTGGTGCTTCGATTATTTCGATTATCTGTCAGCCTTGATTCTAGGTCATCGAAATAGTAACTAGCTGGACTTCTTTAGTGGGTTTCCTGTCAAAATCAAAAAAACCAAACACCAAACCACATAGACGAAATAGAACTGACATCACACGCGCACCGTCGGTCCTGAGTGAGCTGTGGGCAATTTCCTTTATTTTTATAGTGCTGGACATTGCTTTTTGGACTGGGCCATGGCCTGAACAGAACTCTCTCCGCCAAATCCCTTTGATTCTCTTAAACATGCTTAGTTCTCAGGCTCATACGCATCGACTGCATGTCAGGGTTTGGGCCTAACCTGCCAAGAAAGTGTGTAGGTCCCGGGTCATCTTTATGGCGAGCAGATAGGGGCTTGGGCTCGGGAGGTGGTGCGGCCACGGTCGAGTACCGTCAGCATGTCATTGTCATTGTGCTTCTTGTGGTTGCAGCGAGGAAAAAAACGATATTACAGACTCTAATAATTTATTGGGTTGGTCTATAATATGGGAAGCTGAATGCGGCTAAGCTGGGTTACGACCTTTGGCGATGCTGAGTGAATCTCCAGCTCGTGTGAGAACTCTTCATGTACATACCGCGAACAGTTAGAGAGATTGATGGGGTTATTGGCTTGATGACGAAGTGATGGTTGTTCACCATGCATCAGTTCAATTCGTTTTGCGCGCGCTGAAACTTGCTTCTCACTTTCTTTTCTTTGTGACGACGGAACTTGATTGCTATTCAGATTTCGCTTCAGTCTGTGGGTTTTTGATGGTTAAGGAAACTCGACACTTGTTAGGCTATCCTCTGTCTCTTTCTCGCGCGACTCGCGCTCTCTCCCTTTCGCATGTGCAGCAGAAGCCACTGCAGGGCAGCATTCTCAGACCGGTAGGGCAAAACATCCTCCTCCCCGAACAGGACATGCCAATACACCTGTGACGATGCAGGAGGTATGAGAACTCTTTTTATCAACGTTGCAAGCCTATCGAGATAAGGCAAAGAAGCAGCTTCGACCCAAAGGACTCCTTTACCGAATAGGGCCTGGGCCTGAATTCATGCTGTCCTGAACGAAGGCGTAGGTGCTACTCCTTGTATCAGTGAACCACGAATTGTTATCATCAAACATCTTCAAGGATCCGGGCTTACGATTAACGACGGGATAAAACAATGATCCGACTGGCTTCAGCAGTTCCGACGTTGGAGACTAGACGGAAGCAGCGCCTCGAACATGAGGCACCTGAGTTGGAGGTAGCTTGCGGGTTTGACGCAATGGCTTAGGGTTGAGACTCTGCGTTGCTTGGAAGAACTGCTGCATAGTGCTGCTGCAGGAATGATGGGCAGGTCGGCACGAGTAGTTACAAGGTACATGTAGTGTATAGAGTCGTTCGTTTCCATCCGTCACAAGACTATACCACGCATCTGTTTTGCGCATTATTTCGGTCTCTGAGAGCTGCATTCGCATTCCCCGCGATGCCAAGCCAAATGAAAACCTCGACCCCGCGTGCGCCAGAAACACCATCGGCAGGCATCAACAGAACAAGGACGCCCAACACCTCAACATCAATCTCAATTAAACCTAGCCTAGATCCCAAGTCCGAGACTACATCCCCCCCCACAATGACAACGAGCTCTTTACATCCGACATATCCGGTGTCAGAATCCCAGGCACAGGGTGGAGTGTCCAGGGATGTCGTGGCACCTCACCGAGCTCGGAACCCAAGATAAGGGGTTTGGGGCGTAAGGCTTCAGGTTTACCCCACCGTGGATTGAACTTGTATGGTTGTCGGTCAAAGCTGTTTTGTGACGTATACCCTTCTGACTGCCGCTGCTGCGTGATGTTTGGGGTCGTCAGCCAGCGTATCGTGTACATTGTCTACGTATCATATGGTATATAGGAGGGTTGGCATGTTCATGCCCACTTCTCTGCTCGGCCGAAATACAGCCAAGCCTTCGCCACGGTATCCGACGAGATCCTTCCTTGCTTACTTACGAATGCACGGTAAATGAAACCCTTGACATGTGACCACATGTGCGTGACACCAACACCAAAGGCGTGGAAGAGCAAATTTACTGGCCCGGACGGCATCTGTCACAGCAAGGCGATTTGCGGCTCTCGTCACCCCCGGTAGATGTTTGCAGCACTAAGTTTACGGCGTGAGCCATCTGAACCATAGACCGCGGCAGAACAGCTGTCTCAGCCGATGCTGCGATCCAACGTACAATGGCATCATGCCACGAAACCTTTCCGTGTGTCAAGACGAGCGGCCTCCCCTTCCAGCAATGCTATACGCAATGCAAACGCTTATCCACATGGGATCGCTGGGACCTGCATGTGCTGTCTGTCTGCCCCCAGCGGACGCTTTGGCACATTGCTCCACTGTCATGCGCCCAGACCGCATGCGCGTTGGCCAGAAAGGCATCCAGCAACTTCTGGCCCCGCACCCGGCCAACTGCGCGAACGATGCAAGATGGGGGCCATAGTTAGTTTCACCTGAAGAAGGCCAACAATCCAGGAGAAATAACGTCGGGAGCGGTTAGAATGTATGCATGAGGGTAAGATAAGACTACAGTATGTTTATCTACTTGCTTAATGGCTCCTGTATTCATCCAGCTAAGCCTCTCAACAAACCGTCAGACTGAACATTGGACTCAACCACGCAAGCCATGAGCCGTATCCCGACCAACAACCGCCACTGTCGCGACTGCTAACTTTAAGTGGTCCGCTCCTGATTGCCGTTGCGATGGCGGTGATCTGGCAGTAGATGTAGCGATGCTGATGGCTGTGGTTTGGCTCTCGGCGGCCTATAATGACAGTAGCGCCGCAGTCTCGAACTACCTGAACCTCAAGCAGCAAGATATAAACACGGCAAGACCACCCATCACTCTTCCCACCCTGTTCCACCGGAGGCGCTCGGGTGGCGAATCACTGAACAGCATCTGCTGCATTCGCATATACCTGCTCGTGTCATGTTTTGTGCACCGAGCTAGGGAGGTCTCAGCCAGTCTCAGACGGAACTTGGAACCCACGGACTTTTGAAAGGACTGGTGTCTTTGCGTTTCGAGCCGTGTAAATCTGCAAAGCTTCAACTTCTTGGCATTATCCCAAAGGAAGTTCTCGCTCTGTACACTGTATGGGTCTCTGTGAACCAAAGGAGAGACCACAACAAAACAACACACTTCCGATTCTCAAGGTACTCTGATTGCTCCAAAAACCGCATCCTGCGCCAGGGCGCAGGACCCAAGTCCCCCGAAGCCGAAGCCCTCTCAGAGGCCTCTCCAGAGGATTCGCTTGGATGCGCTCCCGCGAAACCAGAAACTGCGCACAGCAATAGGAACCCAGTTTCCTCGGCAAGGGGGGAAGGAGCCTTCCTCTGCTGCAAGTGCAAGCCAGAAACGACGAGAACCGAGCAGGCCCATTTTCTTTAGTGGAGGGCTTGGTGGCTTTTGGTGTTCCTGGTGCATCAACTCGACTGCAAGTTCAATGAAAGCCATGCGCACGTGCTCTTCTTCTCGTTATTTCGACGGCTGCTGTGGTGATTCAGTGATTCCTATGTACTGCTTGGCACAACTTGACGATGGCCCAATCAGGGGGAAGCGGAGGAAAGGGGCAGGAGGAGGAGGAGGAGGAGGAGGAGGAGGAACGCTACCACTGCTTCCACTCCTCCTCCTCCGCCTCGACAGCTACTACTACTGTAAAGCTTATTAGTATTAGTTTTCATTGTGCTTACTATGATGGCCACGAGTCATGAACATTCTCCTGCATGGAACATTCTGAAGTAATCCCCACGCTTGCCCTGAACAACTCTTCTGCTCTAGCCAACGATGGAAACCGCCATCGCCTTTTCTGGCAGATGCGGTTTGTGGAGGATTCTGGTTGCCGGGGCTTGCGAGTGCTCCGGCGATGTGCAAGAGGGACACGCATGAAAATCACCAATCAACAACGACTACAGGTCACACTTGGCATTGTAATGGCCACCGGTCTGTCCAAATCTGCCAATAGTCATGGCATCACCTGCCCCAATTTCCAAGCTGTGGTTCCACTGATAACCCTTCTAGATAAGGCGAGGCTCTGCTTCGGAGGACGATCGAAAATCTGAGCAAACACCTGGTCAGTGGAGTGTAACAGTGAACACCACAAAGTTGGAACATGGGCTTACGATGAATACTGCTGGGATCCCTTACTTTGCCTTAAGGACATGAGGATGATGATGTTCCAACTTTCTGGCTTCTACTATAAGGTTTCTGCCTGGAGACACAACAGGGGATAGTGACCTAAGCCCAACAAGCCACCCTCGGTGTCTCGCAACGCCGCCCTCCCTACTCTGCAAATGTAAGATGACCTCGAGGCCAAAATGCCCTCTGAAAGTCTTGGATAGCGTAAGACCTCAAGAGGAACCTTAAGCAAACCAGCTGAGACCTGGCCGAAGTTTAACCATGCCACACCATCGTGAGAGTCGAAGCCAATTGGAACACATGTCAAGCATCAAAGCGATGCAGATCTTCCCGAATGCACCCGCGAATTTCGAAATTCAGAAGTCACATGCCATGGAGCCTCAGTCGGCACTCCGAACGCACAGAATGCGGACTCTGAGTGGGAACTCCAACCGTTCTTGACTTGTTCTGGTTGGTGGCCCCTGTTGTTGCGTGCAGATCCCATTCCGAGGGGCAATTCCCTGTACCTGTATGACTGGCGTTATGATGAACGGCGGTTTTAGAAAACGGGGATCGTGAAGCTTACCAAGGCGATCGCTTTCAGACGCGATACTTCGGCTCGGCACGGGGACATGGAAGTGATCAGCCGCGGGTAGTTGAGGTGAACGAACGAAGTCCTAGGCAGTGTGTCGAAGATTCAGGAGCTGCATCGAGTTTGTGGCAGGACAGCGGACTGTCTTTGCAGTGCTACTTCCTGCCAATGGTTGAGCATTTGCACGACTAACACACATATCATGATACCTTCACAGCAGAAGCTTTTCAGGGCTGTTGCAGGGTAGGCACGCAAGCGACCTCTGCTCCACAGCCTTCATGACCAAGGAAAGGTAGCCTGGAGAGTCTCGCAAACGCGAATTCTCCAAGTGACTGAATCCCAAGGATCCCCATCTGCACATTTAAACTGTCATGCTCCTGCTTCAAATTCTAAGGCCCCGGGGCCAGAAAACAGGCATGATGTGGCGGATTGCCGTGTTAAGGCTCTGAGTGATGATACTGAGGTCAACCTCTGCAACAAGAGCTCATGCCAACTCCCGGATTCCTAAGTTGACGCTACGAAGCTCAAGGACCGTCACATACAGTAAGCCCCAAGTGTGTAACACATCGGAAAGCCCAGTGCTCCAAATGCTCGCCCAAGGGCCCCAGTGCATGTGGTCAGCAGCATCTGCTTGGAAAAACAACGCGTAATCTGCAGGGTCCTCGTGTCAGGCAGGGTGCTGGACTGCAGTTGCTCTAGGTGCTGCTGTGGTTGAGGGTTGCGGAACTGGGGATGACGGTGGCGCTCTTTGCTTCTTGGTGCAGCGGATAACCCTGGCCTGGTCATCAAATTCGACCCACTGTTGCACGTATCCAGGCTTCTTTCAGGCAAGAATCAGGAAATTGATGACTCGAGGCCTGCAAAACTGAGAGACTGCGCACCGCGAGCCTCATGGACATGATCGCTTGATGCACCATGCAAGTTTGTAGTCCATGACGAAACAGGCACAAGGGTTCAGAGTTCCGCAAAACCTTCCTCACTACTGCCGCAAGGTAGACCACAAAATCGGGAATTCAAGCTCAGAAGACATCCCAGGAGTCATTGTTCCACCCTGCAAGGCGCTTAGACTCCAAAACCGCAACCCTTTCCCCTGTAGCTCGCCTCAAAGCTCTCCTGGCTTTGCGCTACAAGCGACGTTGTAGTGCTCGATGAGGTGCTTCAGGTATCCAGAGCACTCATCCCGGCGCAAGCCCTCCGCAAGCGGCACGGCTTGAAAGTTCTAGGCTTTGGGGGCAACCGGGCAAAGGGACTTTGGGATTCTTAGCTCACGACCTTGGAAGGATTTGGAGAGGGTCTAGCGGAGTCTAGCTCTCAAGCTTCCACCGAAACTCCCCTCTGACAGGATCACCAACCCGAAACCACCCCAGACTGTCCTGAGTTGCTTCGGGTGCACGGGACGGTCTTGTCTCGATCCTACTGGCTTTCTGACACACACACACACACAGGTAGATAGATTGATAGAAAGATAGATAGCTAGGTAGATAGATAAATAGATATACCGATCGATCGATCAATCAGTAGATCGATAGGTGGATAGATGGATGGATAGATGGATAGACGGATAGATGGATAGATAGATAGACAGATAGATAGATTAGGTTTATGAATCAATCGAACGATGGATCGATAGATAGATTAATGGACAGACAGACAGATAGATAGATAGATAGATAGGTAAACAGATTCATAGACAGGTAGATAGATTTATCGCGCGATCGATCAATCTGTAGATCGATAGATGGATAGATGGATGGATAGACAGATAAATACGTAGATAGATAGAGGGACGGATAGATAGATAGACAGATAGCTTTTTCGATCGACAAATTTGTAGATCGATAGACGCATGGATGCATGGATGGATGGATAGATGGATAGATGGATAGATGGATCGATAGATAGGTAGGTAGGTAGGTAGGTAGGTAGGTACGCACCCCTTGTCCTGCAAAGCAGCTCGAAGATTCTTGGGTGATCTACACGAGGCCTCGGGGACTCGGACTCTTGGGCGAACATATGCCTCAACCCTAAACCCTAAGCAGGACCTGTACTACTGTAACACCATACCCATAAAATACCATAATACTATAATACTGTATTACTAGAATCCCAATACCACTACTAACACCGCCTCACCCGCAGCCGCCTCGTCGTCCACTAAAACGCGGTGCACAGCAGCGAAGCTGGAGGAGATGCCCGAGATGTCCGTGTCAAAGTTGCACTTCTCATAGATGAAGACCTGAAGCAGGAGGTCGAAACTACAGTTGTTCCTGGCGTTTGGCAATGAAGGCTGGTTAGATGCCGGGGAGACGGCTTCCAGTGCAGATCTGCATCAGGGAAATGAGGCTCAGGGCAGTTGTCAACTAATGCCACGAATTCCGGCGATTTTTCAGTCTCAAGGCTTTAAGAAGCGTTGGTTGCCATGTGTCTCGTCACACATCCGAACCGAATCAAAAGCACCGCCCAATCACTCCAAGCCCCCTAGCGTGCTTGACATCTCAGGACCGTAAATTTCCTGCCATTGACTACACATCGACAAGCCGATATTTCGTGGACATTTGCTATTATGGGCTCTCCCTATGCTGTTGTTTTCTCTAGTACAAACAGCTTGGCAGCACAGCATGAAATCACACACCGCCAGACGGTACACTCAATTCTGAGCTGTATTCCGCCATCGGAGACCCCGGGTCATTGAAACGAGAGCCATAGCTGGTGTTGACTCCCAGAACCCACATCAAGTGAAACAGCTGAAGACCTCTGTGCTTTTCCCCTCATATTAACGAGAGGCCTTGCAGTAAACTGTTTGGGCAATGCTCGCAGCGGTACCAAACGAAGGGGCGAAAGGAGGCAAGAGTCGGCATCGGCCACCCCCAGGTCGCAAAACCAGGAACTAGCCACCCCTCCAACGATTTTATCTTTTCTTCGAACGGTTTGTCACTTTTCCTCAAGCTGTCTAGTTCCTTTCTGCCAGTTTGCTGCTCCTTCTCGAACTCTCATATTGTCAAGTTCCCTAGTCTCTGTTGAGGCTTGCTCCTGCATCTCAAACTTCCTACTCCTAATCCCTTTCAACGGGTTTGCTCCTCATTCTCAAAATGGCAAACCTCTTTCGAGCAGCTTGGTCCCATTTCCCACTGTTTCTACTGCTTTTCGACTAGTTGGCTCCCGATCATACCGTCTAGCCTCTTTCGAGCGAGTTGCTCCTCATCTCGAAGTCTTAAGTCTTAAGGCTCTCGCTCGGCCGGTTTCTTCGGTTTTCTATGCCCTTTCGACGGGCTAGCTCCGCTTTATGGAAGTCTCCTCTTGCCAGCATCTTTAATCTTTTTCGAGCAATGCAATGCTGTTTTCCAAATGTTCTAGTCGCTTTCGGCTGGTTCGTTCCTCTTTCTCACATTCTCCTTTCATCAGATTCTCCAATATCTTTCGGCGGCCGGTTTGCTGCTGACATTCTCTCGTCTCTGTCGAGTGGTTTGGAGCGGTTTGCTCGCTGTCGAACACTTTACCACCGCCCCTGCTCTTGTCAAGGCGTTTATGGCCCTCTTTCTCAAACTGTCCACTCTCTCTCACTCGGTTTTCCACCTTTCTAGTGCCTTGCATCGAATGTAATTTGCCACGCTTTTTCACATCTCCTTGGTGTCAATTTGTCCAACATGTTTTTCGAGCGGCGTGTTGTTTCTCAAATGTTCCAATCCCTTTCTCAACTCATCTGGTCAAAGTACTTTAATCTTTTTCAAGCGGTATTCCCCTGCCTTTTCGAGACTTGTTGGTCCCTGCGGACTGGGTTGCTCATGCTTTAAAATGTTCTCGTTGTCTCATTGTTTATATCATATTTATATCTCTTTCGATCCGCTTGCTCTGTTTCTCAAGCGTTAACGTGAATTTCGGCTACTGCTCAAGTGCTCCTCGCTGCGTGCTCCTCTGTCTCAAAGCCTGCTCCGTTGTCAATACTGAGGTCGCTTACGAGCGGTTTGCGTCTGTGTGTCAACTTTTCTAGTCCCTTTCGACTGGTGTGCTCCTTTGTCTCACATTCTCCTGTGTTTTCCGTTTGTCAAGACTCTTACGAACCATTTGCGTTCACGTTCGACTGCTGTGCTCCTTTATTTCAATTTTTCTTTGCTTTGAATGGTCTAGTCACTTACGACGACCGGATTGCCAGTGCATCTAACGAATCTCACAGAAACTCTAGTCTTTTTAGTGCGACTTGCTTCTGCTGTTGAACTTGTGTAGCCCCTTCGACTGGTGCTCGAATTCTGCTCTGTCTTCAATTCTCTAGCCTCTCACGCGCAGTTTCCGCAGATATCTTAAACACTTTCTAGTCTCTTTCGAGCAGTTTGCTTCCGCGAAAGAGCTGTTTGTTTCTGTCATTCAACTTGTGCAGTCCCCTTCGACTGCTGTGCTCCTCTGTCTCAAGCTCGCCTTTGCTTCAACTCTGAGATTCTCTTGCGAGCGGTTTGCCCATGTACCTCAAAATTCTAGTCTCTGTCTTTCGAGCGGTTCGCTTCTGTAAATCAAGCTTTCTAGTTCCTTTCGTCGGGTGTGCTCCTCTCTCAGTGCTCGTCTGTTTTCAGTTCGAATTCTCTAGTCTCGTAAATGCAGATCGCCGGCGTATCGACAAAAAGTCCTTTAGTGACGAGGGGTGACAAGTGTAACACCCGAGCGTTCGCATTGGCCATCCCCACCGGTCCGAAATGAAGGGAGAACAAGCGGAGACAATCACCACTGGTCCCAAATGAAGGGAGACAGCGAGAGACAAGGCAAGGCAAGCATCGAAAACACCGGCACTGGGCACCCCCCCACAGCCCGAAATGGCGGCATCCTTACTCAAATTCAAGGTCCCGTGCAGAAATTAAACTCGCAACCCTAGGCCTCGAACACTGCCATGCCGGATCTGGGCATGTGGAAGCTGGGCCCGTTGAGCCAATCAAGGGATTCACGGCAGTGGCAAACCACGAAGTGCACCTGCGGTCTATTATCCGCAAGCGATATATCAGCTATTCAAACACCTACATTATACAAAAAAAGTTCAGGGCCAAAGGATGAGGAGAGCGCCGGGCTGGAGAGCTCAGGACGGACAGGACGGAACTGGAAGATACCTTTGTCTACTCATCTACTGTGGTACTGTAGTATATGCAGAATCGCAAACTGACAACATCCTTCTTGCGTGATGTCATGCTACATCATGCCCGATCATATGGTAGACAACCCTTAGCCGCCCTCAGCTTGCCTGTATTTGCCTCGCTCCCCCGTTCAGGTGGTGCTTCCGAGCAAGGCGCCTTCGGCTTCTCTGGGAGTGCCGCGCGCGTAGCCTGAACCTGCTGCCTGCCGGGTCTGTAGGGTTTGGTAGGGTTCAGGGATTTCAGGTTTTCCTTTGGGGCTTTCAGGTCTTGTTTTGGGTTCAAACTGCTCAAACTCTACGCAACAACAAAGATGCACACAAATGCTGAAGTTAGCCCCAGCTGCGAGGCCCGAGCAAAGCTTGCTAATGCTTCCTGGAGAGACACGGTGAGCATGTCGCGATTCAGGGCTTGTTTTGGGCAAAAGTTTTCGGAAACTTGAGCATCAGTGTTGAGGGTCGCCCTGTCAGGTTCTGGGTGCTCGTGAGTATCGTAACAAAGCTAAACTCTCCCCCATCCTGTCGATTTCCACAGCTTTCGAAGGATGCAACCTGTGCTGCCTCAAATCCCTTCGCGGTACTGTTCCGGCAAACAGCACTTGGGTGTTCGAGGGGTCGGCATTCACGCTTTGCGGCTGTCGGAGTTTCGGCTTCGCATGCTTGTGCCCACGCCCTCCGATCATGCTCAGAGCTCCTGGATGGGCCACACCTCTGACTCTGCCTTGCTCAGGGACGCTGCATGTGTCCCAACAGGCCGACGGGCTGGACTACTGATCGATCCGTGAGTGCATTCTGAATGTTGATGCAGACGGTGAAGTGCACAAGCTTTGCCATGGGCTTGCGCAACGTCGAGACTGTTTAGCTGGCTCGCACTGTGGCAAACTTGCTTCTAGTACAGCAGCATCGCAATAGCCTCAAAGCAAGCCGGTGCCTTGGCATGGTCAAAAGCATTGCTGAACAAGATCGTGATTAGGGAGTTTCTTTCCAAGCAGAACTGCCTGGCAAACCCCTCACGATTCAGCTAATTGATTCAGAGACATGTCAATGGCTGTCAAAAACGAACGCTCTTTCTAGAATACCCAGTGCCCTCGCCTAACCCGACGAAACTGCCCACCTGCAGCTCCTCCGCAGATAGGCGAGACGAGAGCACATCTGCCTGCAAGGCTGGGCTCTTCTCAGCATTGACTCCGTCTAATTGCTTCTACTGCCGCTCGCCACCGCTGCCGCTACCACTTCTCCTCCTGCTGCTCATACCCTCACCCCCTACCCCTAACCCCTTCCCGCCCCTGCCCACTTCGCACTCCCACTCCCACTCAGACTCCTCCTCCTACTCCAGGCTGGTGGTGCGTGCCTTGGCTAAGGCATCGCCCGCACGTCGATCAGAGATGGGCAGCTGAGTCTCAGCCAGAACGAGAAACCTCGGCCACTACCGGAGACTTTGCAGTCTAAGGGCCCCCATTTGGGGTTCATACTCGCGCAGGTGACTAAAGTTTGTAGCCCCTGGCCTGAAACTTCATGAAAACTACTTTGAGACCTTTGTAGTGCGTCCACGCTTTGGTGCCGTCGTCAGGTGTTCAAACAGCCGTGCAGGCGATTATTGTCGCTGTACGGCGAGTGCAGCTATCACCTTCACCATCAACATCACCACAACCGTCATCAGCATCATATTACAGTAACAAGTATCATCATCCTCACCAGAAGCCTAATGACACTCATGGTCAGAACCATCGTGGCCACTACCGTCGCCATCACCGGTCCAACACTAGACTAATGATCCTGCCCCGCCCAACAAGGATTTCCGACCGATGTAAACATCGGCAGGGAAGACAATTTCTTGCCCTCCTGATAAGGGGCTGCAGTACGTCACGGTTTCACCCTCCGAAGGGTGCAAGCTAGTGGCGCATTGATCAGCAGACCAGGGCACTCAGCCATCAGGGTTTCCTGGCAAGGAGACGGGATGTTGGAAGCTGCAGAAAAGAATTCAAGGATGAACATTAGAGAGCGGCGTGGCTGGAGGGGGGGCATGCAAAGCAATCCGGAACGACAAGGTATGCAAAAGTGTGGTGTGCAAGAACCGAGGCCCCGTGGCAGTCCCCTCTGTCATATGAAGGGTTTTGAACTCAGGGACGCAAGAGTTTTGGGTTTAGAGTTCGGGCATGTTCAGGAGTTAGACATTGGGGCGATCGGGTTTACGAGCCTCTGTGCTGTACACTGCTTGGGGTGTTGGGGTCGGAATCTGCGGGATTTGTGGTTAAATAAAAGGTTCGTGAACCCAAGTTAACGTAGTTCGGTCCCACCGCCTGAACTCCATCGCGAGACATAGACCCTGCGGTATGATTCCTGAGACAGGGGGAGCCCTTTTGCGCAAAACTCCTGCCCTGCACGCCTGAACTTCCACTGTCAAGTTCTGCGTGGAGAGGAACACTTCCTCGCGGCCCCGAAGTGTCGCTTACCGGGGCCTCAATCACTCCCCGAAACGTGAGCCCTAATTTTCAGAGACCCATCACCTGGGCCATTACATGTTCGGGTCGCCTCAACCTCAAGTATATGAAGCCTAACCTTCCCAACCTTCCGAACGTACCGCAGCCCCAAGAGTCGGGGCCGATGTCATTCAGAAATGCGGGTTTGGGGTTTCAGGATTTGACAGTCTCTCTCAGGAGGCGGGCTGCAGAGCTTCTCCAGGGATCAGGAGCTGAGGCCTGTTGGGCTGAGGATGTCTGTGGGTTTAGGGCTATGGATGCAGGAGGGAGCGGTCAATCCAATGTCTCGACATGAATAGCCGTAGCGCATCATTCCCGAAGCCCTCAACCGTCCTCCAGCGGAGGGGGGCCAACTCCATCGTAGAACCGTCTCAGCTTGTACCTGCTCAAGTTGGGCTGAGACCTCAACCTACCGTTGGCCTGGCAAAGCGAACTTAGTTCTAATTGTAACTAGTTAAGAAGCTCCTCGACTGCCACAGACTGGTCTGTGAACCCATCGGTCCTCATATCTACAGAATCTACAGAATCAAATCTCAGCCACTCATCGTGACATGCAGTGAAACGTGGAACTCCAGCAATGGCCGTCAAAACAAGCTTAGAAGCGCGACGAGGCACTGTAGTTCGGCGCCCTCGAGTGTCCAGTTCTCATTTCCTGAGCGGCGGACTGGAACATGGGCTCCTGTTCATGCATCTGACGCTTTTATGCAGGTGCCCAGTTGGTCGTGTTTCCAAGTACCTCAATGTCAATCTGGGGCGAGGTGATCTAAAAACTTTGGCGGAGTTTGAGACTTGTGGAAGCAACTTCGAGCGTCCCGCAAAAGACATGCTTCCGGAATGTTCTGCAATGCACACCTAGACTCGTCCCGCAATCATCAGGCTGACTACGTTCCGAGACCCTTTCCAACACTTCACATCAAAGGATCTGCAATCCGTACTCCCCGAAGCCCAGCTCGGATGTGCGGCTCAAGTGGCTCGGGTGCGGCACCATGCAGCGATCCTCGGCACGTCTTAGCCAACACCTGCAAACTATACTTGGTCGTTGCGATGGTCGCGAGCCCAGTCTGCGGAATGTCCGGAAGGAACAGCCCTTACAGCCCTTTATAAGACCAAGCACGACAGGTTGGGTAGCATCGTCCGCTGGCTGGCCGAGGCAGGGCACCGCCACAAGGATTCCAAACAGGGCACACCTGGAAGCAGATCTTTCCACGATTCTCGATGCTCATGCTGGTGGCGATGATGACAACGGATAACAAAGCCCTGATCGCGAAGGTGGTGTGAGGGAGTTTTATCAATAGAAGGCTTGCGGTCTAAGACAGCCAGAGCCTGCACATCGGTGCCATGGCGGGCGTGGCACATGAGACCCTCGGGAGCCTTACAGTTCAGAGCCTTTGGGGCTCATGGCCAAAGGAAGGGGCCCAACAGAACTTCTGTGTACTACTGCGACTGCTTGCAATCTCTACGGCCATTGTCGTGCCATGATTCCTTCAAGCAAGGAACGGGTCCGTGCTTGGGAATCCGGTTTAGGATGTAGGAGCAAGCCCTCAGCAACTGAAATCCAGCATTGGGCCAACCAAGCTCGCCTAAAGCCTTAGAAGTCAAACACCCCAAGACCAGTAAAACTTGAATCTGCGAGCCGAAGCTGCGACCGGATGGCGCATGAAACCTGTAGAATTTCAAGGCAGCAATCCTAGCCAATGGGTATAAGGTACGTATGTCCGCACGATGCAGAGGAATCAAAGGGAGTGAAATTAGCAATGTGCACGCTCCGCTTGCTTCCCACTTCAATTTCAAAGGCTCCCAAGAACTCAAAACCCTCGCACCATTATAATGCGAAAAGGAAGTTCAGATCATCAGAAGACAATAGAAGGTGCAGGCTCGAAGCAAGAACAGCTGTACTCAGTCGCCAATCATGCTACTTGTATTGCTCCTGGCCATAGCAGTGGCCATGATCTTCGTGCAGGTTGAACTCAGAGTCATAACGAGAAACCAAAAGAAAGCCATGGGAGTTCTGTGGCTACTCTCACTGAGCTCCGCCGGGCCCATGAGGTGTCAACGTGGAGCTCTTGGGAAGATGCTCGGCTGCTACGAATTCCCTTTTAGGGTGCTACGAAACCCTTTTTTGGGTGACAGGGAGGTTTCCACACATTCTTTGTGTAGTGTCCGTACCTGTCGTCATGCCAATATCTTTGGGAAATTCAGCAAGGCAATCCTGCCTGTCTCCAGCTCCAACAACCTCCTCTCCAAGCAAGAGCGGTGTGCAAAGTGAGGACAGTCAGGGCACCTGCACGCATCACGGGTGAAGGCAGCTTTCAGGAGTCAATCGATTCTGATCATCATAGCTGTTCTGCCCCTGACCGCTACCACGAGAATGTTCGTGGTCACAGTCGTAATCATAAGTAGCATCCGGACCATTCTCACTATCGCCATCATCGCCGTCATCCTCATCCTTATCCTCAAACTCCTCCTCCTCCTCATCATCATCATCATCAGCATCACCTTCAAAACCAACATGACCACCAGTGGTACCAACAATCAAAGCCGCAAGTATAAGGATGGCATGAGTCTTCATTGATAGCCAGTTTCGTCGTACTGCTGCCAGTCTATCGCTTGCCTTCAGACTTCAGAGATGTTTCCTCTGTTCTTTCACGCCCGGATCTCGACGTGTCGGCGCAACCCATGCTACTTGCTGCAGATGTGCCCGGTGACAAGCGCAGTTGTTCATGTCAAGCCGAATGACTCAACACATTGCAAAGAGTGCATTGTCAGGTGAAAAAAAACAGATGCCAGTGCTCCTACCTGGATGACTCCCATGGCCTGTAGCGCTCATGCACCTAATCTTGCAGCTAGCCCCTCAATTTACAAGGAAGGTCGTTTCAACCTCATAAGCATGCCCCAACCATGGCTCCCGAGGATCCGAGCCCTGATGCCCCAGCGCCCATATCCTGAATTCAAGCCATTCCCTCCCCTCGATCATCCAGCTAACCAAGCCGTGTTTGGAAGCCCCAAAGCCCTGAGGCCCCTGCGGTTTGGTCCATCGCCGCCGGAAATGCTGAGGTTCGGGGCCTCGAAGAAGGGATTTTTGGTGTAACTTCATAGGGCGTGGACTTCAAGATTGCACCTTTCTGGAGCTTTTAGGCTCCAGGTTTTTGCGGTTGTCTCGGTGTAAGACTGTGGGGCACTCTGCCGGCTTTGCACTGAGCCTATAGCCCAAAGCCTGAAACCCTTGCAGGCTCTGAACGTTCTGAAGATTTCTGGAGCATCTGACGTCGAAGGAATGTCCCAGGAGTCCGGCCTGGTGGTGCCACCTGGCACGCTTGCTGGAAGTTTTCGGGGCTGCCAGACTTCTCCGGACTCTGCTAGCCCAAATCTTGCGTCGTGCCCGAACCTGAAACAAACAGTTTGTCCTTTGGCCTCCAAGAGGTCGCAAACGAAGCACCGGAAAATCCTCGAGCGCCCGTCGGGCTGCGCGCTCACCCGACTCGCCACCTGCGGTTCAAGGCTGTCCGGAGTTGCGGTTTGGGTCTAGGTTGGGAGTTTGACATTGTGGTGTTCGAAGACAAGGTCAAGGCTTGGTTGCCAAACCCTAAACACCAATCATGGACTTCCGGTGTTGGTTGCAAGCATCCGGCTTTAGGGTCCGGGGCTTGTCTTGCACGTTGCAGGGCGACGGCATGAAAGGCTTCGAGGCTCTTGGATTCATGAAGACGGACTTTTGGCTGCTTAAGGAGCCCAGAGCAGGTTGAGCCGTGTTTTGGCTGTGGTGTGAAGTGCAGACCCGAAGGCCCCGCTCATCTGATTTCGCGCTGAAGCCTAGTCAGCGTAAGCTGGGCTGTGAGAAGGCTAGGGCTATCGCCACAACGGGAGCCCTGCGCCTGCCAGGCCGCTGTGTCCGGGGGTGGCGGAGGTGGTCGATAGATCGGTCTCTCGACCTTCCCAGTCCCGCTGCATCTCTTGAATCGGTCCTAGTGTCCTAGTGGGAACCTTTGGATCGAAGGCAAAAACGAAGTTGCTCTCTGCGTGCTGCCCGATCGGCTTTAGCTAGACAGTCGTCGCATGCGCTTCAAACTTCGTGTCGACGAGAGAACTGCGGGAGTTTCCTGGTAACAAGACGCCTGGGGGTAAAAATAACAGGTGGTGCCCCTGATCAATTCAGAAACGCAAGCAGGATCCGGGCCCCGAGATCTGACAAAACAATCGCAGCCACCAGCTCTGCTACGCATCAACAGGAAGGTTGAACCGTTGAAGTTGGAGTAGCAGGATTCCTATGTATCGATGCAGTTCCTAGTGTGCCGGGGGCTTTCCTAAACCAGGTTCAAAGACACAAAGAGTTCGGCAATGGCCCTTTTCTACAGAGCCAAGGAGTCTAGACCGCCAGCAGCTCTGCAACATCGCTACCTTTGTAAGTCTGCTGCCAGCAACGTGCACCGAATAACGGGGATGAACCTCAGCCAGAGCTCATTCGGTTCTTCAAAAAGACATTCTGGAGAAGCAGGTGGGGACGGTCCAGATTCCAGAGATCTAAAGACTCTAAAACCCTCGAACCCCAAAGTCTACAAGTCTACAGAAACTCTGCATCCAGAAGCCCCAACAATTGTGAATTAAGCCGGAGCCATTGGAAAGGACCGATAGGTTAGGGTGGCTTGAACATCGACAGTGCGTGGCCTTGGTCCTTAGAACTTTAAGAAGGCTGGTGCCTGGCTTGTTGCTATTGAAGAATTGCCTGGACCTGATTTTGTTCGGGTTTCGGGTACTGTGCTTCGGTTTCATCTCAGCACTCATTAACACGGCTACCAGTAGGGCCTGTGGGCTTTGCATGCAGGTCTGCTCAGGATCTTCGGCTCGGACGTCAGAACGCAGCAAATGCAAGACCGGAACTTCGAAGCAAATTGTCGGAGTTTCAGAGCGAAGCCCCAGCAACGCTTCTGAAATTCCGCGAAGCCAACCTTACTCACATCACCTCTTGAAGCTAGCTAAGCATTAAGCCTTCGCAAATCCGGGGCTGCGTGCCTCGTTTAGTGCTTGACAGTTTCGGGAGTCTCAAGATCGTTTGTCTAAGGCAGCCCAGCCCTTGCTACGATGGTGGTGCAGAGTCAGAATGGCTCCGGGTTTGCAAGTTGAGTTCTCGCAGCTCTGCATTTGTAGCTTCGGCGATTCAGACTTGACGACGTTTCGGCTGTTGTGGGGGTTTCAAGTGCTTGCAGGGTCTCGCATCTCTGAACGCAGCATTTGCTAGCGACACCCCACTCAGCTCCTCCAAATTTTCGCACCCTGAATCCTCAACCCTCATGGCCCGTCCAAAGCCCCATAATAAGCCATGCAGCCAGAACAAGTGATCCAAGGCAGACCGCGCCCCGCAAAAGCCCACGGCCAAGAACCTGGGAGTACGGCATTTCGCAAGCTTCGGGCAATAACTGAGCTTTCGACCAGAGTTTGTGCCGTGACATATGCGTTTTATAGGGTTTTTGGTTTACGGCGATGACGTTTCGGTGCTCCCAGGTTTTCTGAGTGTTCGTGTGTCGACAGTGACTCGACGGGCCATCAGCAACCGTCGCGAAGCAACATTTGGTGTAGTTCTGCCAATGACAGAACTTGCGACAAGGCTCGCAACACTGACCTATATGATTCAAAGAGACCCAGCCATCGACTTCAAGCCATCTGCTGTTGACGGAGTGAACGGCTTCCTGACCAACAAGGTTGAGCATTCAAGGTTTGAAGCCTGAAAGCGCATATTGTCAAGGGAACGTCTTCGGCAGGGCCTGTGTTTCATGGCATTAGCAGGTGGCAAGGTCGGAGCCGGCATTCCCACACGGTGAATACAAGGGATGCTGTGCGATGACGATAACGATCCTGAGAATACAAGCAGCAGCAGCACTAGTCACTAGCAGCAGGAGCAGTTGGCAGTGGGAGCAGGAGCGGGAGTAGGAGGAGGATGAAGTAGTAGTAGTAGTAGTAGCAGCAATAATGGTAGTACTCGTCGTCGTAGTAGTAGTAGTAGTAGCAGCAGCAGCAGTAATAATAGTAGTAGTAGTAGTAGTAGTGGTGGGAGTAGGAGTAGGAGTAGGAGTAGGAGTAGCAGTGGGACTAGGAGTAGGAGTAGGACTAGTAGTAGGACTAGTAGTAGGACTGGTAGTAGGAGTAGTAGTAGTAGTAGTAGTAGTAGTAGTGGTAGTCGTAGTAGTCGTAGTAGTAGTAGTAGTAGTAGTAGTAGTAGTAGTGCTAGTGCTAGTGCTAGTGGAAGTGGCAGTAGCAGTGGCAGTGGCAGTGGCAGTGGCAGTGGTAGTGGTAGTGGTATTGGTAG